GGGCCCTCCTCGGGGCCCCCCGCCGCCGCCCCTCCCCAGGCATCGAGGCTGCCCCCAGCCCGCACTCAGGGGCTAAAGCCGCGGGCTTCACCACCTGCGCGCTCGCTCCGTTCCGCCCCAAGCCCCGCGTCAGCCCGGGCTCTGTGCCCGCCGAGACCCCTCTCTGTTCTCCGCAAGTATCACCCCGCACAGCCCCTGCGGGCACTTACCCAGCAGCGGAAAAGCCCGGGGGAGAAGTGCGAGGAGCAGCAGGAGCGGGGAAGGAGCCATCGCCGCTCCGGGCAGGGCGCTTCCCGCCGGGCAGGTCCTCCGCACTTGTGCAGGGCTGCTGGATCAGGGGAAAGCTCTGCGCTCGGGATGATAAGGAAATATCCTGTCACATGGGGAGTTTTGAAATAACAGGAATTCGCTGTTCAAACTTTGCTTTCCTAAGCTGATTTTTTTTCCCCTCAGCGGAGGGAAGAGCCTCCTTCCAGGCATATGCAGGTGATAAAGTGGTGATAGCTGAGAAGAGGGCTGGGTGTTTCTTTATTGTTGTGGTGATGGTGATTCTCTTTTTTCACCCCTTTTGCCACCCTGACAGCTTTGCATGCAGGTCAGCGGCTGTGTTTTCGGGAGAATGAGCCAAAGGAGGGAGCCGAGGGAGCAGGACATCTGCCTCCTCTCCTCCGGAGGCAAACCTAAGTCTCAAACACAGCCCCCCCCCTCGAACGACCGGGTTTCTCTCAAGAGCGAGGACTGCAGGAGTAGCAGAGACCTACTTCTGGGAAGATGGGATCTGGGTTTCCTGCTCGTCCCCCATCACTCCTCGCCCACGTGCGAGCGGGTCGCTCCGAGCGCCGGGCCGGGAGAGCGGCCGCTGCTCGGGGTGGGGGGGAAGGAAGAGCCAGGGGGGACGCACGGGCTTAAAAACTCTAACGAGGCATTCTTGAGCTCAAATTAATTAAATTCAACCTATCTGTTTGTTTGTTTGCTTACTCTTCTGACTGTAGTGGCTGTACCTGCTGTTAACAGGATTCAATTCTTGCCCGTGAATTAGAGCTTGAGAAACACAGACCCTTGCTGGCTGAGTGGGTTTTCACAAGATGAAGCACCTACATGGAATTAAATAATCTTTCTGAAAAGGTGCCTTCAGGGCACAATCTGCCTCGAGGTTTTCGTGGCTTCTTGCTGTGCTGGGTAGACCTCTCGATGTGATTTTTTTGTGGGAAGCAGCATGTTATTCTGTAGAGGCCGTTATCAATACATGGTCTGAAATGTCCCAAATGGATGCAATGCAACAGTTTACTGCTGTTTCACACATAGACTTTTGTAACATATGAGATTTACAGAACTTTGTGATACACAAATGTGAGAAGCATCAAACCTGCAGTTCTCCCTGTAGTGTCATGCGCTCAGAAACCTTGGGCAAGTATTGAAAATCTTTGAAAGGCTCCGTGCTGGAAGTTCTGGCTGGAAAACTAGAGCATGTCCAGGGCACAGTGAAAAGGTATTTTGGTAATATTATTATAAGAGAAGAAACAATGGAGATAAAGTCTAAGTGCATCTGAAGCCAGTGATGAAACTCCTGTTAACATCAGTAGGGATGTCAAGTCAGGCAATTCAGCTGTGCTGGACTCTCCTGTGGAATACGTGCAGGGAGAGAAGAGGAAGTGCTTCATAATTCCTCTTGACATCTGTGGACCCACATAAAGGTCAGGAACAGCATGGCCCGGGGACAGGAGGTGGGAATTATTTCAGCCTTAATCAGCAATGTTCTATATTGTTATGTTGATTACTTCCCACCTGGTAAACTTCATCTCTTGCTGCAGTGTATGACAGATATTTGTTATTTGCTATTTCCAATGGCCTTTATACTGAACAACTTGCTTGCAGTGAGGAGATGACAGATTGCTCAAATAACCACAGTACAATTTAGAAATTAACAATTCCTTCATATACTAGCATTACCATGTTCAAAAGGTTCAGGAATTCGAAGCATGTATGAAAAGTGCTTTTTGAGGTGGAAGAAAAAATATTTTCCTGAGTAAGTCACCCTAGTACTTGTTTGCAGATTTATTTTCCTAACAGTTAACAACACCTGGAAGCCCAGGAAAGCATCTAGTGCTAGAAGGAACAAGCCAGCAGACAAGGAATAATGCTGCTGCCTGAGAGTACTGTTACTTGCAAGATCATCACTGACAGTTTGAGAGTTTGTGGTAGTGTTTTGGACAGGGGTAAACAGAGAAGGGAGACATTGTGTGTCTCTAGATCAAACCCTCATGATTCAAATAGCACATGTGTGTCACACAAAGAGACAGGAAAATGGCAGTAAATATTTGAGTATTTATACCTATTCAGTGGTCAGTGGCAGTACCAGGACTGAGCCACATTCTGAAGTGACAGAAGAAACTGTATTAGGCTATTCTTAGAGCTTCTGAAAACTGAACTGGACATAAAGCTGAGCAGCCAGATTTTAATGGCAAGTTAGCCTTGTTTTGGGGAAGGGTCATACTAGATGACTTCCAGAGATCTTTTCCAATCAAACTGAGACATCAGGAGTATCTGATGTAGTCTAAGTGAATTTTTTTCTCTCTTTTGAGACCAAATGGTTCAGCAAAGTCTCAGGCTATAGTGATTTGAAGTCAAGTAGTTACCAGAAGTCCAATCTGCTAAATAACTAATGACAGGATACATGCCCTAGATAGACATATGTTTTCAGCTCTCCCCGTGGGTAGCAAGCCAGCTTCCATTTATATTTGGAACAGAAAGGCCCAAATTCCTCTGAAACAGGTCGGACCATCTCTGCTTCTGGCACATCCAGTACTTGCAGTTGGTGACTATTCCTGGCAAAATACCCTGTAATCCTGAAGTCACAGTGGCCCTGTACTTTGATAGTCAACAGGAAGAGGGAAAGTTCAGTCTAAATGAAATCATATCCAGACCTGAAATATAACATGCCTGTTTGGTTTGTATTGAAGGAAAACAACTGCATTATTATCTGTGCTTTCACATTTGCATCTGAGATGGTTTTTGATATTTCATATGTGAACCTGCATCTCTCAGATTGCATTCAATAGTTTAATACATATTTCTAATGTTTGCATTGTCATGTATATTACACATATACTCAAGAACAAAATGTGCATAATTTGTAATACCTATACTATATTAAGAAGATATAAACAAGACTTTCGACAGGGAAGAAAATAGGAATTGGCAAAGTTAATTTTTCCTTTTTATGCAAATCAGATTCCTCTGAAATGTTATCTAAAAAACTATTTTGAGGTTTCTGATTTCTAAAATAAAAAAGTAACTTTTTTTTTTTTTAGGAATAGGACAATCAAGGTTTTAATATCTCTCACCAGAGAACCTTTACCTAGTAAATGTTCTTTGAGATACCATTAACATAATGTAAAATACTAACTTTCAATTCAACTAATGCAATCTCCCATCTGTGCGTTAAATGTAAAAAACATTAAAAACTGCAATATTCTGCTTTTACTGCAGAGCAAGAATATAATTGTTTGTTACATGTACTTTAATGGCTTCATAAATATACATGACTATTGGGAATGTATTTATACTCTCATGATTTCTGACTTTTCAAATTCAGTTTATGCTTGACCCACACTGTGAAAAAAAGAGAGAAATGTCCATGCCCTTGCATTTCTGGTTGCATATAGCTACAAATGAGTTTCACCTCCACAGTTAAAAGCCACAATAAACATGGCCCAATATTTTCTAATGCACAGGCAAAGTACAGAAATTCTAGAAGGTTTCTGCTTTCTGTCATCATAGAGGAGTCTCAAGTGGCACAGGAGGGAAGATCCGTGGCTGTAGAACACTCTGTGCCTACTTGTATTATGTACATTTCATCAGTTCAAATTTGATTTTTCCATGGTATTCTATTGTTTCATGTTTCAGAAACACAGCTAGATATTGGACTGTGGGGTGGGGATGGTTTTGAATAAAATACATACAAGATGTCCTTAGTTATAAGGTGTTCAAACCTTAAAACTAGCATATTATTTTAGGGGCTACTCGCTGAATGCAGCTGAGACTGCATTTTCTTTTTTCTTTGCATTTCTTTTAATGAAAGGACTTCTTAGAGAAGCCATCAGTTTAGCATATACTTTTTTTTTTTTTTTTTTTAAATCTCATAACCAGAAACTTTGCAAATTATACACATTTCAGAGCCTGGAAAGTAAATATATTCTGCTTAGGGACAGAGAGGAATGTAGCCATAAACTGGGCCACCTTCTGTCCACCCATCAAAAAACCCACCTAGTTCAAACAGAATCCAAAGATATCAAAGATTTTTGTATTGAAAAATTTCTCCCATAGGCATCATGAAACCTTCCAGGATCAAGAAACTGATGTTTGAGGTTCTACAGTGGAAGATGCTGGACAACTCCCTAGCTTAATTCTCCTCCATGCTTTTTTCTGAAACGCTTGACATCACACCTTGCTAGTGAGATACCAAGTTGTAAATGTTTTCTCTCTTGATACAGACCTTACACTTCTATTCTGTGAACAGTGAGGCAGTTTATATGCAACCAAGCAAGGGTTTTTTGATGCTACACTGGGTTACCCTCAGTGGAAGCCTATAAACACTTCAGCATTTCATTAGTCTTCCTAGAGTATTTAAACATTCTCTCAATAATGAATGATTTTAGAGCTTAAGTTTGTTAAAAAGAGCTTGTTAAAAACACACATATTGTACTGGTTTTGGCTGGCATGGGGTTAATATTCTTCATAGTAGATCAGATGATGCTGTGTTTTGGAATTATGGCCAAAACAGCGTTGAAAACACAGGGATGTTTTTGTTATTGCTGATCAGTGCTTGCACAGCACCAAGGCTTTTTCAGCTTTTCATGCTGCCCCACCAGCAAGTAGTTTGGGAGTGGGCAAGAAGTTTGGTGCGGACATAGCCAGGGGATAGCTGACCCAAACTGACCAAAGGGACATTCCACACTGCTCAGCAATAAACTCTGGGGAGAGGAGGAGGAATGGGAGATTTTGAGTTACGGTGTCTGTCTTCCCAAGGCCTTGCTCTCCTTGGGAAGCATCTGAACAGCTGCCTGCCAATGGGAAGTAGTGAACTAATTCCTCATTTTGCTTTTCTTGTGCACACAGATTTTGCTTCACCTACTAACCTGTCTTCCTCAAACCAAGCGTTTTCTCACCTTTACCTTTCTGATTCTCTCCGTCACCCCACTAGCATCCACACACAGCTGTGTGGGGCTTAGCTGCTTACTGGGGTTAACCCACAACAGACACAGCCTAAA